GCTGGAATTACAGGTGCGAGCCATTGCACCCAGCTCCTCCCGTGGTTTGCAGACAGGGTTCCAGGGTCAGGGAGGAGACACAGCTGACACCTCTCGCAGGGCCAGCAACCTGAACCTGGGGGACTCTTTCTGATGGCCTCAAGGGGTGAAATGCAGCAAACCTGAGTCCCTGACTTCCCAGGAGGTGCTGGAAGAAGCCACGTGGCCTCTGCTCATTACACCTGTCACGTTTGCTCTGGGAGCCTTTGGCTGCCACGTAAGAAATCTAGGTGAGGTCAAGTGAAGAGACCAGAGAGAGCAAGACCAAAGTGAACAAGGAGAAAAAGAGAGAGAAAGAGATTGGGGGGCGGGGAAGAGAAGGGGAAGTGAGAAGGCAGGGAGAGAGAAGAAAGGGAGAGGGAGATGCTAGAGGAGCTGTGTGTTCTCACTCACGCCTTCAAGAGCCACTACCTGTCCATGACCATGTGACCGTGCAGGAGCCTCAGTGGAGAGCCTCTGAGCCAAGCCCAGTCAACCCGCAGAGTCATCTGCAGTGATAAATATTGTTGGGAGCTGTGGCTTGGGGTTTGTTACTTCACAATAAATCACCTTCTCGTGGGCCTTCTTCCCTTCCTCGTGACATTCTGGCTTCCAGGGGACCACCTCTCCACCCTACCTGTGTCCAAGTCCTTGTCTAAGGTTCTGCATTGAAGAGAACCCAAACCAAGGCAACGACTGACTGGCTGGGGGGTGTTGGGGAAGACAATTCAGTTGGGGTAAGGTAATTAACCTGAGCTTAGGATTCTTCACCTGGAAAATCGGGAGACTATCAACCTAACCTGAGATGCTTCTGAAGCGGATGCGAAAGAATCCAGGTGAGGAAGTCAGCACCTGGCAGTGGGTCCTGTTTGGGGCTCACTGGCTCAGAGGCAAATTCTAACCGTTACCTTACCAGGTGTTATGGCTGCGTAGGTACCCCTCCTACACCCTCCCGATGCTGACCTGCCGAAGGGACAAGGAAAGGGTGCACAGCCGTGCCTTGGCTTGTCTGCTGGTGGCCTTGCAAAACCCCAGCAAGACAGGGAAGCACCCGAAGGAAAACAGAGCTGGTTCTTATAGTATAGTGATTGCATTTTTTCTGATAAAGATAGCACACCTTTTGTCATAAGCTGTTTTCCTTGGTTTCTGTGTTTCTTTTCTAATCAAATTACCCCAGTTGACACACATTTAAGCAAATAGTTTCATTTCAGGTCACGGGGACTTAGCGCTGCAATCAAGGATCTGAATGAAATTCCTGGCAAAATACAGTAATTAGACACACAATGAAAGCAGAATTGAAATGTCCCAGCCTCCCCACAACACTAAAAGGAAGTCTGGTTAATTTCCAAATTATATTTAGGATCAACATGCAAGGGGTTCTTTTTCATACGGGCAGAGAAATTAGGACCAGAGATCATTACAATAACCACACAAGACTAGGAATGTAATTATAAAATAAACCATACCCTAGCAAGCAAATTATTTTAATGTGTTTCAAGAATTGAATACTCTGTATGGAATTAAAAACAGAGAAAAAAGCAACGTGCAGAAAATTAATTAAAAAGAGTTAAGACACAGAAACTTCGAATGTCATAAAATTACAAATACAAAAGCAACAAATTAAAAAACATACACAATTGCAGATTTCAGTAACATCAGTAGCCAGAACATACCCAATGAATCACTTAATCATCAAATATCTCGCTGATTTTGAAAGGGGGCTAGTGGTTGATGACTTAACCTCAATCAATCCAAAGGACAGGACTCTTTCCTTACATTACAAGCAATCTGTAAAGATGGCTTTAAGTAACTGAGAAAAGGTGGAGCGTCTTTTCTCAAAGGAAATAGACAAGGAAGGCGTTATCCGCTCTGCCCTCCCCCCAACTACCGAAATGTGTACATTCATTCAACTCTGGTAACTTAGGCAACCAAAGGACAATTTCTTTTCTTTTGTTTTTTTGAGACAGAGTCTTACTCTTGTCACCCAGGCTGGAGTGCAGTGGTGCAATCTCGGCTCACTGTAACCTCTGCCTCCTGGGTTCAAGTGATTCTCCTGCCTCAGCCTCCCGAAGAGCTGAGATTACAGGCGACCACGACTGTCTAATTTTTGTATTTTAGGAGAGACGGGGTTTCACCATGTTGGTCAGGATGGTCTCGAACTCTTGGCCTCAGGTGATCCGCCCCCCTTGGCCTCCCAAAGTGCTGGGATTACAGGTGTGAGCCACCGCGCCCAGCCCCAAAGGACAATTTCTTGAGACCCCCACACACCTTCAGAACCACACATTCTATTCATGTTAAAAACAACAAGAAATTAACAACCTCTAAAGCTAAGGACAATGATTCTGTAAAGTGCAAGAATGGTTCATTGTTTCTGCTTTTGTGGATTTCATGTTAACAATACTTTAAAAGAAAGGGTGGACGGGAGTAAACCAGGACCCCAGTCATATATTTGATCAAGAAATGACCCGTATGGCAAAGGTGAGACGTGGACCGGCCCTCAGGTGTCTCTCCAACTCTGTGCACACCACTGAGGTAGGAGCTCTGGAAGAAATGCAGACCCTCTCAAGGGAGTTAAGGTTTCCTCTTGGCAAATCAGCTGGGGGCCTGAGACAGTCATACCCATGGGCTGCGTGCAACTTTGCATGCAGCTTCACGAAATTCTAGAGCTGCATCGCATCAGTGACGGAGAAGGGCAAGATCCAAGACAAAGCCATACGAGGCGAGGTCCTGGTGCTGACCACTGGCCATCTGTTGTCCAGCACAAATCAAGGGGCCGGAGGAAGGGGATGAGGTGGAAAACCCCCGTCAGGCATTCTATAAAACAGTTATTAGCAAATTGTATCAAAAAGTATCAAAACATTTCAAAAAACTCTAAAAATTGCCAGGCTTGGCAGATGCGCAGGACAGGGTCTCCAAGTGCCCGTGGCGCTGCCCTATATTCCAGGCATTTATCCTGGAGGCCAGGATGCCACCCTTCCCCCTCCCCTCCCCTCCCGGGCACTCAGAATCCATAGAGACACCAGGGGGTCCAAACCTTATCTGCAGCTGCCCCGCCAGGTTTGGGACAAGTGGACAGGGTTCCAACCACGAGCTCTGAGAGCCGCAAGGCCCATGAGATGCTGCTGCACCATGGAGGACCAGGGTGAGGGATGAAGGTCGGTGCTCTACAGCGGATGTTGGGGGGTATGGCAGGGGTCCCCTCACTTCCCACATTGCTGCAAGTCACTGAACGATCACTTGGCTTAGGGGTCGAGGTACACTGAACCACAGGTGAACACACCTGAGCTCACAAAGTAGGACCCTGGACCTCAGAGGATGGACCCCACTTCCCCTCAGCATTTGGGTGCCCATCTCAAAGCTGAATATCCTGTAGGTATAAATACACATGTGGTTCTGCTCAGAGCAAGGTCTGAAGTCCCACTTGATAGCCTCAATAAAATGGTAGAACAATGAAAATACCAATTGCGTGCTAAGTACAGTCAGTTGATAAAATAGTCTCTGTGCATTTTAAACAGCAGGAAGTTTGCTATAAGCAACAGGGTTCATCAGCTTTCTACTCCCTCCCTTCTATTATTATAATACAGTTATGTCTTAAGCAAACAGCTTTCCAACTTGGGTGATGACCAAACTCCAAACTTACAACTAACACGAAGTTACAACTCTAATTCTTTAGAAATGAGAAAAGTTCAAACCTCAATAGAAGCCTGCCATGCTTATTTTGAAATATTGAAAAAAAAAAAAAGATCCAGGTGCCTTCAAAATTCAAGCAGAACAGCTTGAAACACTTGACAGTTTAACATGATGACACATATGGCCGTTTCCATCTCAACATGGCAGCCTGCAAGCACCTGTGCCTTTGTCACTAGTTTAAAACCCCACTGTTGTGAGGTTCAAATGGCCACCGCATAGGTACAGCCCAAACTCTGCCCATTTGAGTTAAAAACCATGTTTTTCTTTTGAGACAGGGTCTCACTCTGTCACCCAGGTTAGAGTGCAGTGGTGTGACCATAGCTCACTGCAGCCTCAACCTCCCAGGCTCAGGTGATTCTCCCACCTCAGCCTCCCAAGTAGCTGGGACTACTGCATGCCCCACCATCCCTGGCTAATCTTTTGTAGTTTTTTTGTAGAGATGGGTTTTTGCCATGTTGCCCGGGCGCGGTCTCTTTCATTTTCAGTTAGACTGCACAGAAGGGTGAATTTTCAACTTAAAAAGACAAGTAACAAAAACCTGGCCCAGGTACCGCCACTGGGCACTCTTGTGCCCATCCACTGACCCCAAACAAGCTCAAAAACCTTTCTTGTCACAGTGTAGCCACCATCAAATATTAGAAATTGGCTCACAAGATGAAACTTGTTTATCCTCCCTTCAAAGGAGTGCTCCCAACCTTAGTAACATTAGATTTTAAGCCATGTAAATTACAAAACCACCTTAATAGTATCGGGAGAGACATCACAAAATATTAGGCGCAGGATGTCGTATGTAACTCACGAGGCACAAGAAAATCAGAATAGAGGCCAGTAGCTCACACATTTCCAGGGACAAGTCCCAGAAGCAAAACGTAAAAGAGCTGGCTTAGGCTAAAAACCAATGGCTCTCCTCTCCCCAAGGTCAAAGCTCTCCCACTCCCCAAATCAGAGTCTATGTGCTCTCCCCAACCTGCCCCAAGATTCAGGCCAAACTGCCCATTTGTTCATGACCCAGGCTGAGCTGGGGAAAACAGCCCACGTACAGCCCACGTACACCCCACGTACACCACACGCTAGCTTCTGAGGGGTCTACAAGCAATAAAACCTTTCCCAGAATAGGAAGGGGGTAAGCTATCCCAAAGTTGGCAGAAGTTCTGCAAAACATGTTTTGTGGGGGTCTGGGACCAGGTATGAGAGAAAAGAGTTTTAGGCTCAAAGAAGTTTGGAAATGCTGGGTTGAGACTTCTCAGAGCCTTTCACACACCGGAATGCTGCAGAGCTCCAAGAACTGTCCAGCCTGTTGGTCTGTTTGTTTGCATGCCTTGCAGAACCTCTCAACAGTCTGTAAGCCTCCCGGGACTTCACATGCAAATAACTAGCTAGCTAAATATGCAGACTACCCTCCTCACCAACCACGGAGGGCAGGAACCAGTTCCTTGGCAGGAACTTGAAGCTTTCAGTCCCCAAAATGCTCTCCTCTCTCCTGGAAGGCTACAGAAACAGACCAGTGAGAACCACAGTAAACTCTGAAGGGAAGAGAAAGGAGGTGCAGCAAAGCAGCAGCAGAAATGAAAATAAAAGTTAACTAAGGTTTGTTTTCCTAGTCTAATATCAATCTTAACACACTGATCCTCACCCACTCGAGCAGCCGAGAGCCCTCTTAAAGGGCACGCGACGTCGAGACCTGCTCTCGGAACTGTCTGCAGGAAGACTGGCGTTAGACTAGGGTTTGCGATTAAGCACATCGTGAAGTTTACTGATCTCTGCCGTCAGATCTTGGGTGAGGTACAGCTCATTCATGCCTTCCTTGGCTCATGCTTAAAGCCCATCACACTCCTATCCTCCCATAGTTCTGTGCATTTCTCATCCGCTCGGGCAGCTAGGAGCCCTCTTAAAGGGCAAGTGACCCTGATACCTGCTCTAGGAACTGTTGGCAGGAGTCAGTGCAGGCCAGCTCCGCATCCTGCAGGGGATGCCATCCAGGTATGAACAGCTCAGAGGCTGAATGGCCCTATCACCCGGGAGGAGCCTGGAGGGTATTCCATCTAACCCGGTGGCTAAAGCCGGGGGGAGGGGGGATGAGGGAACACATGGATTTGTTCGATAATTTTCCCAGCAGCACAAAACTCCTTAGAAGCAGAAAACTGGGGCAGGACCTGGCATGGGAGTCAGGGAGACCTCCACTGCCTTCTCAGGGATCCACACGTTGTCCTCTGAGCAGGAGCTTTCAACAGCTCCTCAAGATAGAGTCATAGAGAACAACGGCAAATTCCATAGCACTCGCTTTTTCTTTCCTGATAAACAAACAGATTTGGGAGCTGAGTACATCAGCAATATAAAAGACAGTGGGTTCAGAAAAGAAAAGGAAAAAAAATGCACAAATTACAGAAAAATATTCATAACGAGCTTCACACCTTTTTTCGTTTTTGGTTACCTGTAATGTTTTACAATTCAAGAAGGTTTCCAATGAGGAAAGATGGAATTATTCAGAAACAACGTTCACCGGATACGGAGAACAGCTCCCCAGTAGGAAGTCACCACGTCTCACCCGACAGTCCAGCGAGCTGCGTGGCCCCTGGTCACTCACTCATTCACCCTCGTGGGGGTCTCTGTGCAGTCATTTATAAAACAAACACATTCGACCTTGCCAGTCATTCCCAGATGTGGCTGAAGCCCAGAATTCCAAGAACCAGTTAAAATACAGTTTCTGGGCACCACCTCATCCCCGTTCCTGGTGGTTTTGGATTCCATAATTCTGAGCGGGGCTCAGGAATCTGTATTCTTAAAAGCTCAGCCAGGTTTGGGGAGGCTTGGACTAGGTGATCTAAGAGATCCCTTTGAGGCCCCAAGCTTCACTACAGAAATTTCTGTGTAACCCCCATGCCAGCTACTCTCAGGGAGACGGTTAGCAAGGACCCATGAGGAATTGTAACATGGGGCAAAGAACTGCAAAGATACAAGGGGTTGCTCACTGCCTGGGTTAGTTATTCGAGCAAGATATGTAAAGTTACAGAGAGTATTTAATTGGTTACTGTGATATCATAGAAATACCAAGAATCATAAAAGTAAAAAAAGCTGCTAAGTTGTACATAATGTTTCCGGAATACTAAGAAGTTGCTGCTGGTCTACAGAGCCCTGGGATATGATGGTGAGGATGGTCCCAGGAGGCGCAGCTGGGGTCACTGGCCCCGGTCCTGGTGCCTCTTGCCTTTGCCTTTCTTCTTTTTGTCCTCTGGCCTCGGCTCCAGGGCGCAGACACAGGCGGACCCGCCAGCGATGGCCTTGGGCAGGTCGACGCCCCTGCTCCACTTGTCGGCCTCTCGGTCGTACACCTGCACGGTCTTGGAGAAGGCGGTGTTCTCCCAGCTGTAGCCGCCCAGGATGTAGATGCGGCCCTCCCACACCGCCACGCCCGACTCGCTGTTGGCGTGCAGCAGCGGCGCCACGCGGGTCCACTGGTTGCACTGCGGGCTGTAGGCCTCCACGCCCAGCACGTCGAAGCGCTCCATGGATTCAATGTTGTCGTCGCTGCCCCCGATGGAGTAGATGCTGTCGCCCAGGCTGCACATGCTGTGCCAGCCGCGCGCCGTGGTCATGGGCCGCCGCTCCTCCCACACGTCTGTCCGGTGGTCATAGCACAGCAGGTTCTTGCGGTAGGGGCCGATTTGGTAGTCGTGGCCCCCAGAGATGTACACGAAGTCTTTGTAGATGGTGCCCGCGTGGCCGTACGTGAACCTGCAGGGTCGACGGGCGGAGACAGAGAGAGAGCTCAGGGCTGTGCCAGGCTTACCCTCCCCGAGCCAGGGAACAGCCTGCCGTCTTAGGGAGCCATGAGGATTTAAGAACACAGGCAGTGGGCACCCCACGAACACTCTATAGACAGCAGACGTCATTAGCAAAGAAATGGCGGGCAGGGCGGGGAAGCGGACAGCTTTGCAGTCAGGCCGCCTGGGCCAGAACCCAGCTCCACTCTCTCTGAATCTCCCTTGCCCCATCTGGGAAATGGGAATAATCACAGGACCATCACCCCTTTCACGATGGCTGGAAATGACTAGAGCAATGAGCCAGCAGGCACACACGCACCCAATGAATCGCACATCAAAGAGGAATAAGGACATACAGTCCAATTCTAACTGCGCTGGCACTCAGGAAAAGTTTTGCTTAAAACCGTAGAGACAGCAAAATCAGTGGCTGCCAGGGGCTGTGGGGAGAGGGGAGGGAGGGATGGACAGGGCGCGCACAGAGGGGGTTTAGGGCAGTGAAATGATTCTGTGTGAGGCTGTAATGGTGGATTCATGTTGCTTTGTGTTCTTCAAAATCCACAGAACTGTGCCAGGAAGTGGGAACCCTGACGTAAACCAGGGCCTTTAGTGAATAAGAAAGGATCAATATGGCCAGGTGCAGTGGCTCACGCCTGCAATCCCAGCGCTTTGTGAGGCCTAGGCAGGTGGATCACTTGAGGCCAGAAGTTCGAGACCAGCCTGGCGAACATGGCGAAATCCTGTCTCCGCTAAAAATACAAAAATTAGCTCAGCGTGGTGGCGGGCGCCTGCAGTCCTAGCTACTCAGGAGGCTGAGGTAGGAGAATTGCTTGAGCTCAGGAGGCGGAGATTGCAGTGAGTTGAGACTGTGCCACTGCACTCCAGTCTGGGCGACAGAGAGAGACTCCGTCTTAGAAAAACAAAAACGCGAGTGCTTATCCCGCACACTTCTAACTCTTGGGGACACCTGGATGTATTCCACAGCAAAGACTGGTTCAGAAAGTGCACTGCTGGGAATGGCAACAGGGAACTGGTGGAAAAAATGGTGTGCACCTGCTGCTAATCCCATGGAGATAATAAACGCTCGATACATGCACACCGGAAGGCAGGTGAGACTGAAGAGGGTGAGGCGGCCACCCTGGGCACTCCCTGCATGCGGGCGCAGGTTTTCCGAGCAGCACCGCATCGGCTCTGCAAACAGTGCTGTGGGGTGGGTACGATTATCGTCTCCCTCTACAGATGAGGAACTAAAGGCTGAGCGGGGTGAAGACCCGTGCTTGCGCCTTAGATCTAGCAGATACCCCCATCTCTTCGAGCTCCTCTTGCCCAAGCTCAGGGAGATCCTCAGGTCAGGCCCTCACCCTCTGAAACTCAGCGACTGCACAGACTCAGCCACGGAGGGATGTCCGTCGTGGCGGCAGAGCTGACCCTTGCCCTAAGTCTGGAACCGGAGCCCGGACTGTGCTCCACCACGCCCTCTGCCCCTCACGGTGTACCCACTCTTCCTGACAAGCCAGAAGATTTCGCTCGTGGAATTGGAGGCCACATGCCCAGAAAGTGAGGCACGTGGACTGAACTATGTCCCATAAAAACATCCCATTTGGAGAGCCTTCCACCAAATCCCAGATCACCTCGGCAAGCCCGCCACATAGGACCAGGAGTCGGTCTTCGGACTGTATGTCTCTACCGAAGAGAGTGCTCCGTTCTCATTCCGGCCGCCGACGGCCACCAGCATGTCTTCGATGGAAGCAAGGTAGAAATCCACACGGCGCTGGTTCATGGAGGCCACCTGTGGAGGTGAGATGCCTGTACCTTCCCTTCCCCGAACCCGGGACAGCATCAACATCTGGCGCTGCATTTCCCAAATGTGTCTGCGGAACACACGGTCCCAGAGAATGTTTGGGAAAGGGAACTGCACCTGAATAAAGGGGGCTTCTTCAGGCGGGAGCTCTGAGCCCCTGAGGTTTCCCCAAGACGCTCTGAATCCCCAAAAGTGGGATGGAGACGCTCTGAACCCCCACACTTGTCTGGTCATATGGTCAGCCTCGTGGACGGGAACTCTGTGGGTCATGGATCAGAATTGCTGATCTAGTGGCTTTCTGAAATAAAAATTCATCTTTCCCCTCCCGGCATCAGATCTGTAAAGTTAGTGCTGCTCTGCCACTCTGTGTTAACAGAGCAGGATGTGGCATTCGACAGGAAATTAAACAGAAGAGGCCGGGTGCAGTGGCTCACGCCCGTAATCCCGGCACTTTGGGAGGCCGAGGTGGATGGATCACCTGAGGTCACGGAGTTCGAGACCAGCCTGGCCAACAGGGTGAAACCCTGTCTCTACTAAAAATATAAAAATTAGGCAGGCGTGGTGGCGGGCATCTGTAATTCCAGGTACTCGGTAGGTTGAGGCACCAGAATTGTTTGAACCTGGAAGGCGGAGGTTGTAATGAGCCTACTGTGCCACTGCACTCCAGCCTGGGCAACGGAACAACTCTGTCTCAAAAATAAATAAATAAATAAAAGTAGAAACTTTTTTTTTTTTAAACGAATCCAAGCCAAACACACAGGGAGCAAGAACAAGTCCCCGCGGGGGGCGAGGTTCAGGCCGCCACTGCTGCCAGGCCTCGGGGAGGAGGGTCCAAAGCCAGGGACTCTGTCCAGTGGTGAGACTTCGACCTTGGAGGGCGGTCTCAGATTTCTGAGAGTAAAATCAAAAGGTCAGCTGGAGTCCATTCTGACTGTGTTTTGAGCTAAGAACAGCACTGAGTTGGGCGCGACGCTGAGGTGTGAGAATAAAGGCTGACACAACTGTCCCGGGGGAGCGGGTGGCTGGAGAGTGCTCCCAGCAGAAAGGAGACACCTTCCCTATGCCAGGGGCTTGCCAATCAACATGAGCTACTGCACTCCCTGTCCCCCATGTATTCCCAGAAGGGGAATCCAAAATGTGGAGAAGACAAGAATCTAAAATATCCTAGCTATGACTTAGGCAGGCTGGGATGAGACCTCAGGTCTGACATCAAGGCCCACGCTCTTCCCAGAATCAGGCCACAATGCGTGCCCAAGGGCCAGGTGTGAGCCCTGGTGGCCTCCTTAAACTATCTCCCAAAATGCTTGCAGAGGAGCCCCCCAGAGACTCCAGGACCCGGGGACCTTGAACCACGGATCAAACATCTAGACCCATGCTACTGTCCAACAGAGTAGCCACGCCTCGTGTGGCCACACACACTTGCACACCAATCAGGTGAAGTGAAATGAAATTGAAAATTGGCTTCTTCAGTCGCACTGGCCACATTTCAAGCGCTCAGTCGCCACATGTGGCTGTGGCTACCGTATGGGGAAGTACAGACACAGACCCTTCCATCTGCACAGAAAGCCCCACCAGGCAGCGCAGCTCTGAACCACGACGGACCCCTCGAAGGGGGTGGGTCAGCGCTCCCTCTCCCTGTCCAGGGTGTAGGCCCACGGTATGCTGCTTGCCATTTTATCGTCACACCTCATTCAGAAGCAGGATAGTGGCTGTCAAGGCCCCAGAGAGGTAAGGAAAGTCAAGGCTAGGTTAAGGAAACCGAGAGAGTCCTCAAGAGAAAAGAAATAATCCGGCTTTAATCTCACCTTGATCCACTGTTTACAGCGGGGGTCATACCTATAAAGAAGATTGGAGGCCGCGTCCCCTCCGTTGTCCCGTGAGAAGCTGCCGCCGGCGATGAAGATGAAGCCCCCCAGCACCGCGACACAGTGGTGGCTCCGCCGGGCGGGCAGCGGCGTCTCTTTGACCCACTGCTCGCTCTTGGCGTCCAGGTAGCAGGTGTCGTCACTGAGCTCCAGACACCGCTCGGAGACCTCGCCGCCCACGAACAGCAGGCGCTCCTGGTTGGTGCGCAGCGCCGTGCGCTTGGTCTGCATGACGGGCTGGGCCGCCAGGTTGTTGTGGTAGCGCACGGCCTCCTCGATGAAGCCCTCGCAGTTGGCCTCCTTGGGCAGCAGCGAGCACACGGCTGGCTTGACGCGGTGCAGCAGGTCGTTCTTGGGGATGAGCGGGAAGTGGATGTTCTCCAGCACCTGGCGGGCGTGGGCCTCGCGCTCGGGCTGCTGCGTCAGCCACTGCAGGGCGGCCTGCAGGAGGTCGTGCTCACACTCCCGCTGCACCTCGCTGCTGCTCAGGTAGACACACAGCTTCTGCATGGAGACGTTCTGCAGGAAGTCGGGCGTGAAGGACAGCGTGCCGAAGTGGTTCAGGATGAAGCCATCGATGAAGGCGTCAAGCCGCTTGAGGCTGTAGATGGAGGCCAGCTCCTGCAGGTACAGGTAGTTGTCCTCGCTCACCTCCTGCTCCAGGTACTCACAGCAGAAGTCTACCACCGTCCAGATCTGCAGCAGGTGGGCCGTCTCCAGGACGTAGTCAATGTTGCCACCATCCAGCACCAGCTCCCCTCCGTACAGGAAGTCCACCACGGCCTTGAGCCCGATGTAGGAGGCGCCGATCAGCTCCACCTCCTTCTGGAAAGCTTCCCGCATGCCAATGGTGAACATGGAGTTGAAGTAGTCGCTGCACACGGCCAGCAGGTTGCGGTGGGCTGGCACACGCTGCTCATCGGCCACCAGGACAATGTCGCAGAAGAGGCCGCGGAGTCGCTGCTCGTTCAGCCGCTGCAGCACCGTGCTTGAGTGGTCGGCCCAGCGGTATACCTGGCCAGAGAAGACACATCAGAAACGGCAGAGCAGCCTGCTCAGCCCTGGTCCAACCCAGTGGGTCCTGACCAGTATTTTCAACAAAATGAAATTGAAGAAAACAAGAAATAAAATGCTGCATCAGAGGGCATTGCAGGAAGTACAGGTGTTTCTTTTTTTTTTTTTTTGAGACGGAGTCTGGCTCTGTCGCCCAGGCGGCAGTGCAGTAGTGCAATCTCGGTTCACTGCAAGCTCACTCCGCCTCCCGGGTTCATGCCATTCTCCTGCCTCAGCCTCTTGAGTAGCTGGGACTACAGGCGCCCGCCACCACGCCCGGCTAATTTTTTTGTATTTTTAGTAGAGACGGGGTTTCACTGTGTTAGCCAGGATGGTCTCAATCTCCTGACCTCGTGATCCGCCC